AAGAGCTGAAGGACAGCACCCAGGCCCAGAGTTCAAGCCCCACGACCGACAAAAAAAAAAAAAAAGAGTCTCACAGACTTTTCTGGCTTTAAACTGCAATTTTCAGATCTCAGCCTCCTGAGTAGCTAGGATTACAGACATGAGCTAATTATTATTATTATTATTTTATTTTTTTGTCTGTTGTGGGGCTTGAACTCTGGGCTTGGATGCTGTCCCCGCGCTCTTCAGCTCAAGGTGAGCGCTCTACTGCTTGAGCTACAGAGCCACTTCCGGTTTTCAAGTGGTTTATGGGAGATAAGAGTTTCATGGACTTTTCTGCCCCAGCTGGCTTTGAACCATGATCCTCAGATCTCAATCTCCTGAGTAGCTAGGATTACAGGCTTGAGCCACCGGTGCCCAGCTAGAGCTAATTAATTTTTAATAAAGAGGTCTCATTTACTGAGTACAGGACCATGTTTTAGAAATAACTTGTTTTCATTAATATGTTTTCTAATAGTTATTGTTTAATTTTAGGAATAGGGGAAGTCCATGCTTTTTTTTTAAAGGTGTTGCTAAGGATCAAAACTCCAGGCTCCTTTATATGATAAAAAAGCCCTTTAAACATTGAGCTTCAAGAATTTCTTAGAGGACTCTGAACATTCATACAGTAAGACCAAAGGGGAGGATATTCTTAGGAGAGGATCACAGGCTCAATAGCTATGTGTATAGTATCATATAAAGTGATGCTTATTGAAATGAACTCCAAGAAATGGAAACAAAAGTTTTATTTTACTTTTTGTGGCTTTTTTTCCTTTGTTTTTCCCTTTTGTTGTTTTTGATTTCTGTATTTTTCATCTTGCAAATAAGTTTATCTGATTTGGAGTGGAAGGGGAAGCACAGAAATGGTAGAACAAAGGGGGAACTAAGCAGTGATACTCACTAGACAGTATGTTGAAAATGAGTTATACAACCTAGAGGGAAAGAGGTTGGGAGGGAAAAAACTAGGAGAAAACAAGGAAAGAGGTGACATGGTTAAAAAAAAATAAATGTACTCAGTTACCTGACTTATGTAACTGTAAGCCCTCTGAACATTACTTTTACAATATATATATATATTTTTTTGTCGGTTGTAGGGCTTGAACTCGGCCTGGGCGCTGTTCCACTTCCCGTTTTCTAGTGGTTAACTGGAGATAAGAGTCTCATGGACTTTTCCTGCCCAGGCTGGCTTTGAACCAGGATCCTCAGATCTCAGCCTCCTGAGTAGCTTGGATTATAGGCATGAGCCACTGGCACCTGGCCTAAAATGAGTTTTTTTTGGCCAGTCCTAGGGCTTGAATACAGGGCCTGGACACTGTCCCTGAGCTTCATTAGCTTAAGGCTAGCATTCTGCCATTTGAGCCACAGTGCCACTTCTGGCTTTTTCTGTTTATGTGGTACTGAGGAATTGAATCCAGGGCTTCATGCATGCTAGGCAAGCACTCTATCACTAAGCCACATTTCTAGCCCCCCCCTTTTTTTTTTCCTGTCATGGGGCTTGAACTCTGGGCCTGAGCACAGTCCTTGAGCTATTCAGCTCAAGGCCAGCGCTCTACCAATTAAGCCACAATGCCACTTCTGGTTTTCTGGTGGTTTATTGGAGATAAGAGTTTCAGTCCTTCCTGCTGGTTTTGAACCGTGATCCTCAGATCTCAGCCTACTGAGTAGCTAGTATTACAGGCATGAGCTGCTGGCACCTAGCCCCTAAAATAAGTTTTTAAAAGAATTTCTTAGGGGCTGGGAAGGTGGCTCAGTGGAAGAGCGCTTGCCTTGCATGCATGAGGCCCTGGGTTCGATTCCCCAGCACCACATAAGCAAAAAGAAAAAAAGCCGGAAGTGGCGCTGTAGTTCAAGTGCTGAGGGACAGTGCCCAGGCCCAGAGTTCAGGTCCCACGACCAGACCCAAAAATTAAAAAAAAAAAAGAATTTCTTAGGCCAAACTGAATTAAACATAACATTAAAAGTTTTAGTTTAAAAAAATTTAAAAAGCTCCAGTGAGAATATTGTTCCTTTAGAACATTTAATATTTTAACCATTGATCTTTGCTGTTTTTAGGAAGAAGAGGAAGAAGAAGAAAATAGGATGTCTGAAGAAGCAGAGAGACAATACCAAAAAAATAAGCTGCAGGCTGATTCCATTGTTCAGACCGATCAACCAGAAACAATGGTATCTAGTTCATTTGTGAATCTTAATTTTGAAATGGAAGAAGACTGTGAAGTAATTACAGAAAGCAAACCAAATGCAGTCCCTGTCCCACCTTAGAATGAAATGACTATCAAATTTCAAGCCCTAAAATGTTTTTATATATCTGGAACTTTTCACATTCTCTGTTTAGTGGAATAACTTTAAAACAATTATTTGTATTTTAAACTATCTGGAAAGGAAAATGTTCCTTCATTTCTAGGTTGTATCTAGCAAAAGTTGGATCTGACCTTTGGATATTTGTACTGTGCTTTTACTTTATGTCCAATTACCAATTATTGCTTTTTCTTTTCTTTTTTTTTTCCTTTTTGCACTGCTGGGGATGAAACCCACATTTCATGCATGCTAGCTACGCAAGTATTCTGTCATTGAGTGTAAATGAGTTATACTCTCAGCATTGTACTGAGAGTTTTAAAATGGTGTTTTAAATTATTTAAGTTAATGACATTCTAGAGTCCTAATCAATTAAGAGTTAATTAAGTTCATCTATTATTTTGTTATAAAAAAGGTGAGTTGATTGGAACTAATTGGAACCGAAAATCCTAGACTCAGATTAAAATGAGGAATTTCCCCCCTAGATTTTCTCGTACTATGACTTGCACTTTATGCTTTGCACTTAATATACCTAACCACTAATTTCATACTAAAGATGGTTTACTGAGTATGTAATAAAAGAAGCAAGATGGAAGCACTTTGAATTTTCTTTCATTGAAGTCATTTATAGAAACCCAAATATTGAGATAGGTTTCCAGTTTTAAATGCAAGTCACTTGATATTCTATTCTTTTATAGGTTATCAAATTGAAATAGCTAGATGCATTTATTAATATTTGTATTAAGATGGTAATAGCTCATTATTATGCATTCAGCATCCTGATTATAACATCTATTCAGTCCTTCATGTGTCCCATAGTCAAAATAGTGGGGATGGGATAGGACTGTGGGAGGAGATGCAGGTTAACCCACTAGGAGCTATTAAATATAACAATGATATTAGTTGTCATTCGCCATTTTGAAGTAGCAGCAGTAAGATGGATAGTTTATTTGAACCCAGGTTGGTCATTTTTCTCTCTACTGGGTATTTGCAAACTTCATAAAGCTATATAATACAAAGCTAATTCAAAAAATATGCCTAAATATGTACACAGAACCTTATGAGATATCTGTATTGCTTTGATTTATAACTAAATATGGATAAAGAAAAATGTGTGGTATAGAAATGCTGTTTTCTAGTCACACTCTTTATTTATTTTTTTAACAAATTAATGAGTAGCAGCCTTTTCCTAACAGTATGAAGCTTTCAGTTTTAAATCTGTGTAAAATATAGCCAAACAAAAAGGCTAAAGGACAGCACCCTTTAGCTGTCCCTTACATATATCTCAAAAGAAAGTCAAAGCAACCAGTGTTGGTAACTCACATCTATAATCCTCCTTAGGAGACTGAAATCTGAGGATCTGAAGTTTGAAACCAGCCAGAGCAAGAAAGTCACTGAGACTTGTTTCCAATTAACTAGCAAAAAGAAGTGTGTAGCTTTAGTTGAAATGGTAGAGCACCAGCCTTGAGCAAAAAAAGCTTAGCAAGTGTGTGAGACCCCCAGCTGGTGGCTCACGCCCATAAGACTAGCTACTCAGGAGGCTGAGATCTGAGGATTGTGGTTCAGCACCAGCTCAGGCAGGAAAGTCCATGATCTTATCTCCAATTAACCACCAGAAAACCAGAAGTGGTGCTGTGGCTCAAGTGGTAGAGTGCTCGCCTTGAGCTGAAGAGCTGAGGGACGGGTGCCCAGGCCGAGTTCAGGACACACACACACACACACACGCTCAAGTGGTATACACACACGCTCAAGTGGTATACACACACACGCTCAAGTGGTACACACACACACACACACGCTCAAGTGGTAAGTGCTCGCCTTGAGCTGAGAGACGGTGCCCAGGCCCAGAGTTCAGGACACACACACACACACCACACGCTCAAGTGGTAGAGTGCTTGCCTTGAGCTGAGAGACGGTGCCCAGGCCCAGAGTTCAGGCCTCAGACAGACACACAGACACACACAGACACAGACACACACACACACACACACACACACACACACACATACATGAGACCCTTAATTCAAGCCTCAGTACTGGTGGGCATGTGCACACATACAATTACATCAAAGGACATGTATAGTGGGCATATTACATAAGTCTATTGTTAATAAATTAAGTTATTCAACTTCAAGTTCAGATGTTTTAAGTTTTTCAGCTGAAATTTAAAGAATTTAGGAAGGATAATTCTTTAGGAATCTTTGGTTGTATGGATTCATGGTATGATGGTTCACAGTACATATGGTATTTTTTATTCATGGGTATAAATGAGTAAAAGTTTTAAATTTTAGATTATGTAAGTATAAATAAATTGTTTACTAACAGTTCTAAACTCTGCTAGCCTGGCCTCTCTGATTTGTTTTTAAATTGGAGATAGCACTTCTCAAACATTTGGTTAAGTAAAGATAAATGTATATGAAGATGATCTGAATCTTTTCTCCTTAGAAGTGCAAGTACAGGGCTGGGAAGGTGGCTCAGTGGTAGAGCGCTTGCCTTGCATGCCAGAGGCCCTGGGTTCGATTCCTCAGCACCACATAAGCAAAAA